TAAACCCTTGAAGCCCTAAGCCCTAACCCGAATTTCAAGCCCCATCATGTGGCATGGCATCCCTGGCTTCGAATCGGTGTTGTTCTGGGAGAACCTGTCCTGTTCTGCTGGGAATTCTGCCGTTAGCGTTTTGGGTTTGTGGTTTTTGGGGCTTGCGGTTTAGGGTTTAGGGTTAGGGTCGAGGGAAGAATGAACAACTCTTGTAGCACCTTCTGGAAACCCTCGCAGCAACCCTCGTAGCAAAGGCCAATTGAGGGCTTTTGCCTCCAAGCCTTAAGCCCCAAACCGGCTAACTAAGCCCTAGTCCCCAAGCCCTAAACCTTAACCCACTAATCCTATAGACCCTAAGCCCTAAACACCTTACAACCCTTAACTCAATAAACCCTATGGAGGCCCTAAGCCTTAAACCCTCTCTCAGACCTCTCAGTTGACTTCTCAACAAGGACTTGGAACTGGAGGGCCCGTATGACGTGTAGCGGAGCCGGTAAGCAGCATCCTTATCTTGAAGAGTTCTTCGAAACTGAGCCTTCGGTGTAGGGTTTAGGGTTTAGGGTTTTAGGTTTAGGATTTGTCCCTTTATTAGACCCTAAATGCCTGGTATTTGGGGGCCCATCAACCCTATGTCAGGGCACAAAGAGGGTTCTGGTTTGCACCGTTGGGCCGTTGGGGATCTGAGACGGAAAGTTTGGACTGCTTCCCTGCGTATTGGGGAATATAGTTTAGGGTTTAGGGGGTAAGGGGTTTAGGGTTAGGGTCTAGGGTATCAGGGTATTAGGGTATCAGGGTATTGGGGTATTAGGGTTATGGTTCAGAGTTTAGGCTTTAGTGTTCAGAGTTTAGGCTTTAGGCGTTAGGTTTCGTAGATCCGAATTGAAACTGCGGTTGGCGCAGAGTCAACGCAGCCTGCGGAGACCCGATTGTAGTGTAGTGCAACGCGGGAAGACGGATTCCGGATGTGGACTTCTTCTTTGCAGCAGAAAGTCCAAAATATAGGAGCCTCAACAATTACCTCGATTACTTTGGGGTTGATTATTACTATGAATATAGTATAATGGGCCCCCTAAACCCCAAACCCTATTCTAATTGTTAAGGCCCCTATATTATGGCCTCCAAGTTGCCCTCCTCAAGCACTCGTTAAGCCGCTGATTTCTTGTTGTGCTCCCGGCTAAAGGGGGTTGAGGTTTTTGGAGCGAGATACACCCCTAAACCCCTAAACCCTTTATCCGATTTTGAGTAAGCTCAGGCCCTAAGCCCTAAACCCTCGACCTCTGATTCCCCCCAAAAGTCTAATCTCCTACCCGACCCCCCCTCCCCCCTTCCCAAGAACTTATACAACCCAAAAGGAAGTCACAACCAGGAACCCTCCACATGTAGGGTTTCTGGCGTCGCGAGGTAGGATTTCGGATTGTTCGGGTTTAGGCCCGGCCTGTTTGGCCGAATTTGCCCGCTTCCTTGCGTGAGCTAATTTGCTGCACGTTTAAAGAACATGCCGTGAGGCCGGAATTCTTCACACCCGAGTCTGCGTGCCCTACATCCTAAACCCCTAAACGACAAGCCCTAAACCCCAAAACCCTATAAGCCAGCCCTAAACCCTCAACCCGAAGCCCTACATCCTGAACCCCTACACGAAAGGCCCAAAACCCAAAACCCTAAGCCCTAAACCCTAAACCCTAAGCCCTACATCCTAAACCGCTAAACAAAACGCCCTAATTGAACCACCCCAAACCCCAAAACCCAAAAGCCCTAAGCCCTTGGAGATCTGAAGCCTGAACCCTAGTTCACTCGAAAAAGGGACCCTGAGCCCACAGTCCTGTGTTTTTTGGCAACCCACCATTTTCAGTGGTTTGGCATGTCTCGAGTGGTGGGTGTGTTTGCGGGCACGTTTCTGTGAATTGTTGATTAGCTTGGTGCGTGTGTGCGTGTACGTTGTTGTTTGGACCTACAACATCAAGTCTGAGTTGTTGCAAACCACGAGCTCTGTCATTGAACGCGGGGTTTGTTTGTAAACATGTCGTCGCGTCATAGCCTGCTCGTGCTTTCAGCGTTTTGTCATGATCACGGGCCTCCTCTTCTGACTGATGTTGCATGTGTTTATAAACAGCCAGACTGCTGGATGTTTAACTCTAGTCTGATACGTGTTGGTGTTGGTTGGGGGGAGGCGGGGAGTGTCAGGTATGTTAGGAGACCGAAGAGACCCTATCCTCCCCCTCCCCCCCAAAAGCAATGCAAGCCAAAGCCAGCCCTGCGAGCTTGAAGTTGCAAGCAAACCCGTCGTCGGCAGTGGCGGGCTTCGTTGAGATCGATAACGGGTGTGTGTAAGCTCCAGCTCACGAGTGTTAGCTGTTAGCCTCGCTGCAACAGTTGCTTCTGCTTCTTCCACAACATCGCCTTCACAGAACACTTCCTCCTGAATGCCGCCGAATCGGGACGTCATGCCGCAGATTGTTTCGCTCTCAACTTGACCACAGGCTTGCAGGGCGAATGCCTTGGAGATGCTCAACAAGTGGTTGTCGTCGCCGAAGAAAGGCACCAAAGCAGCAGCTCCCCTTGCCATCGCGGACGGTGATGTAAACGAAATGTTGGAGACAGAGGAGGCAAAGTCGCAGAACTCGCCCGCGGAGGACCTCGACTTGGAGGTAGAGGCCAACGATGCACAGGATGCCAAGCACTTGCTAACACAGACCCCCCGGAGGCCAAAGACCCGGAGGACAAGGAGGCAGAGAACGCCCAGGACGTACAGGCAGAGGACGTGGTGGAAACCAAGGGACAGGATGTCGGCTCGGATTCGGATTCCTCATATTCGAGCTCTTCATCATCTTCCTGGGTATTGCCAACGGATTGGGGCGCATGGACCTCGGAATGGCACGACGTCCGGCAAGAGGGGCTCCATCTCCTCGAGCGGTCGGCAGGGGAGAGCCAGGAGGGGTCCGTTGAAGGCTTTACCACGGGGCGAAGCCAAGCTGCAGTGGGACCAGGCCAACGGCCAACTGTTCAGTGAGTGTAAACTTAGTCGACTCTCTGCAGTAACGCCCCCGCGCAACTTCGGAAAACTCATCATAGTTGAAAATCAACTGAAGCCCAAACATGCTTGTAAACATGCCGTGTTTATGAACTCATCCTGTATTTCGTTTCCTCAAGCTTTTGCTCATTGATGCAGATACTGCCCTCAGAGTTCTCAGCAATCCTCGCTTTGCACACCACGGATCACACAATCATCGCGGCGAAGATGATGTACATCAAGTACCACGGGGGGGGGCTCGTGTCCACAACATCAACGGTTCAGGCAAGTTCTCCATGAAAGACCTTTTGTTGATTGATGCCCCCCGCGCCCCTGGCAAGAAATTCAAGGAGTTCTTGCATATCGTAGAGGGTGTTTCTGCTGCAGATGGCGATCTGATCCGCAATACCTACATCTCGGACCCACCTAAGGTTAACGAGCTACCTGACTCAGTGCATCCTCGTGATGCCCTTGGAGACTCGTGCGTATTGTAATCGGCCATATCCCCTGAGCAGGACGCCAAGAACATGGTATTTTTCATTCCTCTGAGACTTGCCAAAGCCTTCTGTGCACAGAAGGCAGGCGTCATCAACGACCAGGTGGCAAACAACACCGACCACGTCAGTGTGCTTGCCGATCTCTCACAAATATAACTCTGCCACCACCAAGAACATTGAAGAGGGCCGTCAAATCCATGTCGATTCCGGAAAATGAGATACTTCATGATTCACTTCTCGATATTTTGCTTGTGTACAAAACTTGGATGGCATAGTCATGGATTGTGCCTGTGGTTTCTTGCCCACAGCCCAGGCCCACAAGAACTTGAAACAGAGTAAATACTGGAGCATAGACGGCTTTCATGCGAAAGGCCACACGAAAGGATGTCCTTGCAACCCCCTCCATAAGAAGAGGGATAAACTCCTCAGCGTGTGAACAGGTCTTCTCGTGTTTTCGCAATTTCGCACGGCTTCTAAACGAGAGTTTCCCTATGCGCCATAGCTTCAAGGTGTTGTACTTCGTGAAACAGCACAACTGTGCAGTGGAGCAGAAGCGGTCCATGTACCTGAATTGCTATGTTCGCTCCAGTAAAAAAGCCCATCGACGTCACTCTTGCGGCGAGAAGACAGGTCCTGAAAGCGCCTTGCCTCAGCAAAGAGGACAGGTCCCAAAAAACTGCGACAGCCATGAGCTCTCAAATAGCTCCATGCTACGTGTGTGTGAAATCGAGATCGGGCAGGACATTCGCTCAAAATCAACCAGAGTGCAGTCACATCTACGAGCAGTACTCTCAGCACCGCCACTATTGCGAACTGGCGTCCTTGCATGTCAGCGCATCCAAAGTATGCTTCGCCATCCATGTAACTCGGAGTATACTATAGCACTTATTGTAGTGATGTTTCCAATAAACATATCAATAATCCCTTACGGGGTGGGTTTTCAAAAACCCAGGCCCGACAGCAACCTGCGCTCAAACCCTAAGTCCTGAACCCGAAACTTTAAATCATCAAGGGCAGGCAGACTCGCAGCAGAAGGCCTGTGCGACCTATCGCTGCAAGGTTAAATCTCAGCTAACGTCCACATTTTTCACCCCGGTTTGCCTGCACGGTTGCGGTTGGGGTGGCAAAAAAGACGCCGAGAGCCGCAGGCTTAGCGTTTGGAGCAAAGGGTTTGGAGCTCAGGTTTTTTTCGGGTGGAAGTTAAGTAGTTTAGGGATTTTAAATTTGCGGTTTAGGGGCCTACAATGCCTACAACAACAACAACTACTACTACTACTACTACTACTACTACTAGTACTAGGACTACTACTACAACTATTACTACTACCACTCCTACTACTACTCCTACTACTACTCGCACTACTACTACTACTACTACTACTACTACTACTACTACTACTACCACGACGACGAACCTTAAACCGAACCCTGAAGGCGAGACCCTTGAGGGTGAGTCGTTTATGGCATGTTGTTAGCTGGCGCCACCGGTATTATCTGGACCCAAACCTTGAACGCTTTAGGTTAAGACGGGTTTAGGGTTTAGGGAACCGTAAACAGCAAACTTTAAAGCCCTGAATCAGTCGAGTTGCGTCGAGGTTTGGCCTAAACTACCGTGACGTGCCGCTTTTTTGTAAGCTCTGATTATCATCGTTGTTTTAACATGTCATCGAATCTCTGCAGAAAACTAGGTTAAGGAACTTGAAGCCCTTGCATATGTGTACGTGTGTGTATATATATATATGTTTTTACGTATCGATGCACACACACACACACACACCCGCACACATAAAGAAAAACCCCGAATACGGAACCTTTACGAACGAAGCCTTTGGGTGTTCAACATCGGAAGGAGCGCGGGGAGTTCCTACAATTCCTTGGGACTCCCGGCAGTTCCGTCGTCGAGGCCCGGGGGACGGTAATTCCAGGTAGGGCTTTTGTGGGATCTCACAGAGTTCCTATCGGATTCTTATAAGGCCTTAGAAGTGTTTAGGCTTTTGAATTGAAAATTTTGGGGGTTGAGGGTTCTGATTTCTGTTGCCCAACCCTATGATGCTGACGTCTTGTGGGGTTTGCCGGTTCTCTCGGGAGATGTGGGGTTTCGGATTGATGCAAGGTTTATCGGGCTTCAATTGGGGCTACCTTAACGCTACACCCTGAAGTGCAGCCGTTCAGGTGTTCGTGATTGGAAAGGCGCTTTGGATTTGTGGTGCGATGCGATGTTTTATTGTAAAGGGATGGTTCTTTCGGGCCTAATTCCACTTGGGTTTGCTAATGGCAGAAGTTCGTGTACGGTTCTCGGACGGATTACGGCTCGATGCTCAAGCTTTCATAGTACAAGGTACATGGACCACGCGGGAAAGCTGTGAGGAATTTTACACAGATCCCGTCAGAGTGTCTGAATATCTGAAGTTCGCCCACCCACTCTCCCCAAAAATGGCTTCAGCGGGGTAACCTGGTAGGGCTTCGGGTTGAAGCGGTCAGTGTGCTAAACCTGCACCCAAACTCCTTTGGCGTTGTTTTCGTGGATGAGTTCTAGGTCCTGGGTGTTTTCTGTTTGTACAGTCGGGTCCCTTTAGATCAGGCCCGGTATCTATAATTGAGGTACCTAGTTGAGCGTCATTGTCGTATCAAGGGGCCCCAAAATTAGAAAGTAGGACTGCGGCTAGCAAACCTAATCCTATAACCCTAAACCCCTGAACCCTAAGCCCTGCGACCTAAAGCCTATCCCCAAACCTAAAACTACCGTTAAACAGGGCCTGAGGCCGTAGCTTACGGATTTGAGCGTTTAAAGTTAAGCGTTTAGGGCTTAAGCGTGGAGGTTTAGGGATTAAGCCTCGGCAACCATGTGAGCCCGTATCCCGAATCCCGAGCCTAAACTCTAAGCCCTGAACCTCCAAGTCTGAACACTATAGACCCCAAAAGCCTGAATGTCAACATCCCGAACCGTCAACCCGAAGCCCCAAACTCTAAACCGAAACCGTACACCCCTAGGACCTAAATCCCCCTAACTCCCTAATCCCCTAAACGGTTTAGGGTTTAGGGTCCCTCATGCAGCGTAAAATCGAATACCTGACATCGCTGACCTGTCGTTGGCGCGATCTCGCTCAAGCCAGCGCCAGTCCCAGGACAGGCTTGGACTGGTGTCCTTAACAAAAGATCCTGCAACCCAAGCCTGGAACCCAGAACCCTAAACCTCAAACCCTACATCCGAGATCCCAGGACCCGCAGCTACTCCAAATATAGGGAAGTTCTACTGGAAGTTAGCCCCCGGAACCCCCATTCAAAGTATTCCAGCGCTTAGATCACGGCGCTGAGTAGCCGACTAACACGTGCATGCTGGACCCTAAACCCTAAACCCTAAACCCTAAACCCTAAACCCTAAACCATGCTGGAATCCTGGAAGTCCTGCAGCCAAGCATTTCGTGCTATGCAGCCGTGTAGCCTCGATAGAGCATAGAAGGGGCTTCATGTCCTACGAACCCCAAAGCCTTAAATTTCAGTATGTTTGGCTTGGACTCTTATAACAAGGACCTTCGTAATAGAATTCGTATTTATATATATATATATATAGAGAGAGAGAGAGAGAGAGCCGTAATCAGCACCCTGAGCCCTAAACCTTATAAGCCCTAAGCCCTAAACCACCCGAAACCATCACAAACCCCAAAACCACCATAGCAGTGACCTTTCTTTTCTGCATCATGCGTTGGGCGCCATGACTGCTCAAGAGGCGCCTTCGCTCAGTTTCTAAAGACACTTCGGCAGTATTTCCGGCTTCGGGACAATCGGGTGGAAGTACAGGGCCAGTTCGCTCCCTGGTAAGCCCTAAACCCGGCATCCCAACCGCCTGCAACCAAAACGTAAACCCCTAAAACCCACGGGTTTTTTTTGTGTTTAGGATTTATCCCTTAGCCTTTAACCCACGGTTTAGGCTTCGGGGCTTACGGAAACCCTGAACCTTCAAGCGCTGAACCCAGAATCCTCAAAAAAGTGCAAACCCTAATCCATGCACCCCAAGTCTTCAAGTCCTACATCCATGCTCGGGGTGAGGCGAGAGCCGAGAGGGCTGATCAGGAGTTCGCATACTTGGAGTGCGGTCCAGGGGACCCTAAACTCAACACCCTAAGCCGCGAACTCTAATACTAGTCAGAACAACCTCACATCATGTCTCAGCAAAAAGCAGCTCATCAGTTTTTGAGTAACAACGAACCGTGCTTGGTTTGAAAGCCCGGAACCCGAAACCGTAAGCACTAAGCTCCAAACAAAACCCTGCATGACTGCTGAGACCCCATGAAAACAACCACATGCTGTTCCACCTGGGATGTTGTCTTTCCTTGCTGGCTTGGGATGTTGAACCGCAAGAACCCTTTCTTTGACTGGGCACCACCCTTTCCCTTCCTAGAAATGAGCCTATATAAACCCTAAACTTAACCCTAAGCCCTAAATCCTAAATCCTACACCCTAAACCCTAAACCCTAAATCGGGAAAGAACCCTACTTCATGGTA